ATCGAAATTGGAGGTGGAATAGGAATAGGAATTGGAATTGGAATTGGAAATGGTTCAGTGACCAGCCTCGGCCCCGGCATAAACAGCTGATGAAAACGGTTTTTGTTTTTGTGATTGGCAGGCACATATTCATGGCTTATAAGCGCTTCATTATGGCCAAAATGAAAAGTGTTTCGCGCTCGTTTCTTATTCAATAAAGAAAGCCATACAGCCAGAGTGCATTATGCAAAAAAAAAAACAATACCATAACGATTGCACTCAGCTCAAAGAAAAGAAAAAATATCAAGTGAAAGTTGACAGCAATCTGGAGATACTTATTTTTGGGCAGGGAACAAGAAAGAAGGGTATCAATTTGTTGGTTAGAGATTATGGTAATCGATAGTCGATGGGGAACTATGGCCAAAAGGCACAAGACTCGAAGGTTGATCATTGATTATAGATTCGATGCGGTTTCATTCTGTTGTCTGTCTGCCCCAAAGGCTCCAATAATTTTCATTTTGTAGAAAGGTGGGTTAAAAACTAAACCCCATTTAAACTATTCATATTTATTTATTAATTACTACATTTCCACCCTCTATGACCCACTCTATGCCCCTCTGTCATTGAAAACTTTTTCCTGCTTCTGTAAGTTTTCCCCCCCAAACATTTCCCATTCAGGCTGGATTTTCTTCACAAAAACTTTTCTTCTCGCCTGTCAGTCCATGCTGAAAAATTCCCTGATTGAAACTCAAGTTTTATTTCTTTGCGCAACCTTCACTTTACAACGATTTCAATGCATTTCATTTCGTTTTGCCAGTATTTTGCAGCATAATTTTTACAACATAACGCCCACAACACTTTCTCGCATAGTTAAGCGAATTATACGAAACGAAACAGAAATAGAAACAGAAACAAGCCATGGAAAATGAAAAGAAACACCCATACTCGTAGTCGTAGTCGTAGTCGTACTTCATGGCAGTAGTAGTCGCATTTCTGTCTAGTATTATTTTGCAAAATTTCCCACATAATTATTAAGCGCCGCAGCAAGAGAAGGAGAGAGGAGAGATGGAGAGAGAGAGATACCAGACGTAGATGCAGAGTGAAATGAAAGCAAACAAAAGACTTTTCCATCGGACGGCACCTAGAGACCAGGCCCCCCGTCCCCAGGGGAGGAACCAGCCAGGATTGTACATGAAAAGAGACAGACAGAGGCAGCCACGGAAAGAGACAGATAGCGAGGGGGAAGAAAAATATGCAAATATGATAATAATAATGTAAAAAAGACACAAAAGCCCGTCGAGTGAAAATTAAGAAAAGAGTCGTCGCTCAGAGAAAAATGTCGGCTGTCTTCTGGCCGTCACGTCAAGAGCAGAGGCTGAGCAGAGCAAAGAAAACTCTGATGGAAATTATAGCAATGGCAGCAGCATCTACGAGTATCACAGACAAACACAGCCAGAGGCAGTCTCGGAAGAGAGAGAGGAAGGGAGAGAGAAGTTACCAGGTAGTAGACAAGGCCGGAAACAGGTGTCGCCTCGTGCACTGCTTTTGCCTTTGGCTTTGCCTTTGCTCTGCATCTAGAAAACCCTACCGTCTCATAACGATCTTGGGAAAACATAAATGAAGAACCTTAAAGAGCATTCCAAGCCATGGCCTAACCATGAATGATATATTTTATGGCCCATATCCGCTGAAAGATGAATTCTTTTGTGTGGCAGCACGCCCACTAATGATTTCCTTTCCGACTGATCGGATTGCATAGGGGGGGGGGCTATAATCGGATAAAGACAGCTTCTGATTCTGTTCTGGTAACGTTCTTTTGGAGCCATTCAGAATTTGTCACCATCTGTCACCATTAAGATCTGCAGATTTGTTAAGGCTTGGTAATGATTTCTGCCTCAAATGTTAAGTGATTAACGGTATTCCAAGGTTTGCTTTAGCGTAAATGGAGGTTAGATTTGAATACAAATAAGTTTAGAAAATCTAGACATACATAATTTCGATTTCAAAGATTTTTAAACAAAATAAAGCGCCTTGCGATTTTTATTTTTAATGACAAAATAAATTCTTGGAGCATAAAGTTTTCCAATCTGATTTTGTATTATATTTTAATACCATTATGTTATACCTTTAATATAAAATATGAATATTAAAAAAAAGAAAATATTCACTGATGAAAATCTGGAAAAATCCTATATATATTTGTAGCACTGCATATAGAAGTGTACATATGTATGTATTTGTGCAATTGATTGACTGAGGATTCAAATTCGAGATATTTCTTAAAACTAAAAAAAAAAGAAAAAAACTAGAGCTTTTCAAAGAAGAAACTTATTCATTTACATCTTCCATAAGAACTCTTTAAGCCTAACAAATATATCCCAAAGCTAAGGTTCACTTCAGGCTTCCGTGTACTCCCATCCCACTGATGTCATCGTCTAATGAGATCATTAACTGATTTGAATTTCGAGCACTACCCGTATATGAATCGGAAAGCAGCTTAAAGCTCTGCTTCCACGGAATCCTGTCGTCCGCGGATTAACCAATCATTGGGGGATTACATTACAAAGAACTTTTTCATGGCCTGGACAAAGGTGAGCCGTGGACCAAGGCTCGCCAGACCAACCATACCCATTGAATGCCGATGAAGTTTGATCTGAAACTTTGAACAAGAGGCACGTTTCCAGCGCGTTGCATAGGTAAATGAACTTTCTCTCTCGCTCTCTCTCTCTCTCTCTCTCTGTCTCTCTCTGTCTCCCTAACCTCCTCCTATCTTACAGGTTCTATCCGACAAAGGCTAACGGTAACTGGTAATAGAGAGCCAGAGCCAGAGCCAGGGCCGGGGCAGGCAACAGCCATTTTGCGGCTTCAGATGGTTTCAGTCTCTTTTGCAAAAGTTCGTGAGAAAGCCGGGACCGGGCCCACAAACTGTAACAAAACTGATTACGATGCTGGAGCCAACATAATTTATGGCCAGAACCCAGCCAAGAAGAATGCTTTCGGTGTGAGCGAAGGGCGGGGCACTCAGGCCACTCAGGGCACCCACTGATTGATTGATTGAGCGCCTAACTTAATGCGATTTTTACTTTGGAAATTCATCAAACAAACTTTGGGCCAATGTCAACAACAACAACATAATCGAAGTACAGAGGGGGAAAGGTTTAGATACCCCTGAATATACATCGTTTCAGATAGATCGACTCAAAAGTGAGGGACTTCCAGGGTGGAAAATGTCCCTCGAAAGTAAACCGATATTTGAATACCAAAAAAATGACGTCAAGAGCGAAAAACGGAATGCACTCGAAGGGCTGGTTGGTTGGTGGTTGGTTGGGGTTTTATTTTTCAGTGGTTCCGTCTGGTGGTCAAAATGTTTGCCGGCCTCTTGAAATGCCAGAGACCAGACCAGACCGGACCAGACGATGCTTTTGTTTCAGTTGAAAACATTTGTGCAACCTTTTTGAAAACGAAAACAAACCGGCATTCTATGGAAAACCGAGCTATGGAAGCGCGGAAAACCTGTTTCCCCATCCCCTATGCCCCTTTTTTGGTAAGAAGAAGTTTTTTTTTGCACAAATAGGGGTGAAAGAGGCAAGGCAGTCCATTGAATCGGTTTGAATAAAACCCGTGAATGATGATTCATACGTATTCACATTTGAACCTGAAATTAAGTTTCGGAGTAAATTTTGATTGATTTTTGATCACACACTGGCACACAACCACACACTTTGACGGGGAACGAGACGGCCTTATTTCATGACCAATTTTGGTAATTATTTGCCCCGTCGATCACGAAAGCGCGATCTAATCAATATCACGGAGAACACGCCGACACCAGAAACACACGAAAAAAACGAGACACAAGAGACACCGCGACACGGCGAAACGGAGACACGGAGACGGAGCCCGTGTAAACGAGAGAAATACCGGCAGCGGACTGAAGAGACGACAGCACACAAGAGTGCAGGCAAATGCCGTTTTATCGATTCCAGATACATTTGTACACCACAAGCACACAGATCCCACAAAGCTCGCTCCCAAGCATGCCACAATGGTGGGAGCGGGGTATGCTCTTAACAACCAGCTGCTGGTTGGTAGGGAAAAGCCGGTTCACGGCTTAAAACTTTGGGCATTCTACTTAGCGGCTTTAAAGTTATTTCTGCTCGAAGCCAAGTTTGTGTCGAGGCGAGAGCAAGTTCCGTTGTGTCTCTTAGAGGCGCCAAAGCACATGTTGCAGCAACAAAAACTGCTTATGGTAACTGTTTGACACTGATGTGCACTGCTTTGACAAGATTTTGAACTGCTTGAAGCAGAGATCATGCAGAATTGAAAATGTGTTGCATACTTTTAGTATGTAGAAGTAGAAGTCGTGTAAGATGCATGTCTATTTCTTGTAAAATGCATGTATAATGCATAAGGGATTGCCATTTCGGGAGGTCTCTCACCCCCTACTTCACACCTATTCCTGATCTATGTCAATTTTCCGATCAATTGAAATAATGAAATTATTGCCCCAAAAATTGTGTCCCAAATTTTGGTTAAAAGAAGTTGGCGCCGCCTTTAGCAGTCTACATTAATTACTACATGTTAATGTAGATATTTTGCATGTCCCAAACGATCAGAGGCTGAATGCTGAATTCGCAGAGGGGATATCTCTGGCTTTCTCATAGGGAACACCTCTACCAATAACCTACCCTATTAATCACAGAGGATGACACAAACTGCAGAAAGAGCCAGTTCCAGACTGGAAATCGTCATCGGCTTCGCCATTCATTGCTCGCATTCACACTCTATCAGACTGTCATAAGAGCTATTATAAAGAGCGATTAGGGATCATAAAACTGTCTCTGAATCACTTACTGTCTTACTGTCCCGCCACATTGCCCTAGCATTGTGTAAACACTGCTAGAAGCACGTAGACAGAGAGCAGAGTAAATTCTGATCGCAGTAAAAGTTTTTAAACCTTCTAGGCTTATCTTTGGTTTATATCTTGACTCTTTTCAAGTTTAAACAAAATTACTACTTACGCAGTGGAGTTTTTGCCAATGGCTTTGGGAAGCCGCTTCCAGACACGGGCGCTGCTGCCTGTGTGGCAGTGGCAGTGGCATCACCGTTGCACAACAAACGCAAATCAGTCTGCAAGGGCTTGTGGCTATCCTTGCTATACGAGTGTCCCCTGTAAAGAGAAAGAGAACATAATATCTGTTAAAAATATGTAATTTTCAGAGATTTAAGGGGATATAACCACGTATTTGGTGTATTATCTTTGAAAGTCATTATTTAACAATAAATTTCCCCCTAAGGCAGCACAATTGCCAACTTATAAAATCATAAACAATTAATTCCGTTGGCCATACAAAAAAGGTTCTCTTATTTGATGGACCGTAGGTTTTTCCCTCTTTCTCCAAGCATTTTCTCTGGCCATTCCAACAACTCTGACTTGCGTCGCCACTTGAAAAGCCACAAAGCTGTGAAATTATGGTAAAAAAAAAAAATTCTTCACGCGTCGCAAAGCAATCACAAAACAAAAGAAAAAACAGGTGAAAATCGCCAAATCAATTGGAGAAAAAAACTCGCCGAAATTTATTGCACCACCTTTTCCGTTAAGTGGGTGAAATTTCCTTTTCATCGCCGTTGTACAACTATTTTTCTTTTGGAATTTTTTACCAGCGACTTCCGCCGACAGCTCGCTAATTGAAAACATCACAAAACAGAGAAAAGGAGAGCGAGAGAGAAAAATTTGCAGAAAATGTTCAGCAGGAAATGCCACAAAGAAAAAAAGGAATTAGCATTGCCAACTGCGTTTCCGCTGGACAGCAGCAACAAAACCATAATTTTTATTCGCTCATCCTGCGGGTACTACAAAATAAAAATGTAGTTTTGTCGCTTTGCAGTTGCACTTGTCAACCAGTAGCCAAAAGAAAATTTTTCATAATTTTGTTTGTATTTTTTTTGATTTATGTATTTATGGGTTTCCTCCGAGTTTGGTCTGCGTCGCTGCCACTGCGACAGTTAATTGAATTTCTTGGAGCATAATTAAATGCAATTAAATCAAGTTGTTAATGCGTGCACACAACTGAAAGGATTGTCGGTGGCTGGTTGGCTGGCTGGCTGGATGGTTGGTTGGTTGGACTCGAAACAAGATTGCAAAATATGTCAACTTTAAGTGGCTGCCGCAGAAAAACTAGCAACGCCAAAGATAATTTTATCAGGGGAAAAATAAGTTCCGTTGGGAATGGTAGAGTCCCACAGAAGTTTTAATTCATTTTGTAATTATTTGTTGGAAAAACTTGCTGCGTAACAGTTACAGCATTAAAAAACACACACAGACAGAAAATAGCTACTACGAGTCGTCTATAATGTTTGTTTATAATGTTTTTCGAGAGTTAGAATATTTTTATAGCCCGAAAATCGAGTACATGAAACCCAAGTATTTATATGTATTTATACTCATATTCAAACACTTTAAAAGAGCTGTGCAATTAATATTGAAATAGCCATTTATTACCCACGAATTTTGACAATCTTTTTTAGTGGCATTCAACAACGTGTCTGTGATTTATAGACCTATTCGTTTGAACTGTATTCAGTCGGGCCAACAGATTTATTTGAATAAATAATAATATACTAGAGTCCGAACTAATTCCTTTTTTGTCGCTGCAAACTTCCAATAAAAATTAAAATATTCTCTGCAGATTCTATCTAAAATTTATATTAAATTTTTGCAGTTTTCTACTACCAAACTATAATTAATTTATTTCAGTATTATATCCATACACTCTCTTAACCCATTAAGCACCAATGGGAATTCTATACAGACTAGGAAATTATGCAACTCAAAGAATTTTAGCCACAAACTGGTGAAAGATATCGCCATAAATATTTTTGTTAAATAAAGAAGAAAGTTGGACCTCCAAGCAGACCTCCATTTTGAAGCACCTAAAACGTGTCACCTGTGAAAATTCTATAGGTTTTTGTAGTGTCCCTTAAAATGAAAACCGCCATCGTTTTATAATCAGTTCCGGGTGGCCCCTAATGGGTAAGACCTGAAGTATTTCTCATGACCATTACTTTCAGTTTTTTTTTTGGCAGAGCAGAGCTACCTTTGTGTACATGAAAAAGCAAACAATTACTAAATAGGTAAATGTTTTTGCTTTTGTTTGCAAAAATAAATGTTATCCAAGAACTAACAGGGGCCCAACCTCTGCTGCTGTTAAATCAACAACATTTAATGAATATTTAATACAATCTTTGGTCGGCAGACTTGAAAAGGCAGCAAACGGAAAGAGGAAAAAAAGTAAGACACGGAAAATCAATTTCTCTGCGGAAAAAACTATGCCAAGACATTAGATGTTTGCTGCAAAAACAATGATTGTTTATAGCCAGGCCCAGGCTACCGTTTGGCAATATTTTCACTGCCAAGGTTTGCTTTCTGTGTCACCAGTTTGTGCCATTTAAGGCGCCGCCTTGACCAGGCCTAAGCGAGCCGCCAGCCAAGCCCCAGCCCCAGCCCCAGCGCCAGCCGGCATCCAAAGAAAATCGAAAACTTCCGCAAACTAACAAAAAACGAGTACAGAAAATGCAGGTAACAAGTGCGAGGCGATGCGAGGCGATGCAAGTAATGAATAAATAAGTTTTAGACATTATCTAAACCCAGTTCCAGGGGGAAACAGAGTACAGCCAGGCGGGAGGGGACGGGATGGGATGGTATGGAATGGATGGGTAAATATGTAGATTTAATTATGCAAAGGGTATAAAAACGAAACCCATCGACACGCTGCACAGTCCACTGAAGCGTTAAACATTGTGCGGAAATTGAGCGAAAGAATCGATTAAGCAGCCAGAGAGGGGGAGAAAGTTGGAAGGGGAGGCGAAGATAGACAGACTTTATAAACAAATTGTACATTTTAAATAGCACATCGCACACCGCACAGCAATGCGTCGTCTTGTGATGTTGTTATAAATATTTATTATATCAAACCCATACCCCACATATACCCATCGATCCAGAGACCACAGACAAAGTACAAACCAAGGAGCCACCGAGCAACTGTTGCAATTGTAATTAAAATGCATTATTAATGAAATGCAAATGTCGAGAAACCGAGAGGGGTGACAGTCAGAAGTCATACGGGAAGCCCTTGGATACCCTTTGAGTACGCGAAATGTTGGTTATTTAAGAGAATTATGTTGGATCCTTTTTGGTTATATTTCAGGCAGTCAGAATTATCAATTACTGTGCAATTTAATGCTGATACTGTCTCAGATCTATAGGCAATGCAAAAAAGTATCTGGGAAGCTCTTTTCTGCTGGAAATCTCCCTTAGTAGCTCATCAGATATACCCCTCTTCAAAAAAAGGGCATACAAAATGCAACAGACAGCCCACCCCTGTTATGGCTCGCCCTCTAAGGGGTGCATGTCGCACATTTCAGACCCTACCCTACCCCATCATACCCCCAACCTGTCGTTTGAGGTAATTCCTTGGGCGGCAACACCATTTGTCATCAGATCTCTTTCCGCTTACCCTTTCAACGATATATCCATCGTATGGGATGATTGACACGAAAAGCCAACCCTTGACAGTAGTGCAAGCATTTTCCTTCTTCCAAGGATGTCTGATTTATTTTTTATTTTTTAAGTAGTTATAGCAAAATATAAGACAAAGTCTGTGACATTAGGGGGAACGAAAACTTTTCAGTTTATTTTAAAATAATATTGAAGTATTTGTAGCAGCTATTTCGAAGGAAATTTAAGCATGGATTGCAATCGAATTATTCTTACAAACAGAATAAAGACAATAAGTACCTTTCATTATATTCATTCTACAGACATTCACGTCTCTATCTTTCCACCAATAGCTTCTCTAATATTCCCATTCTATGCTTTTGTTTAGGGGAAAGGCACTGCCCATCATCGTTAAAACTTTGCTGTGTTTTTGCGCATATTATTTTGAAAAACTTTGAGCACTAGCACTAGATCTTTCCCTTCATTCAATAAACTTTAATTTAAAAAAGAAATCAAGTCCCTAACGTGCCTGTTCTGTGAGCAGTGGATGATGGGGTGTCGGTGTCGGTGTCCTATTCAAATGGCGATTTTTTGAATGCAAACCCACCAAAATTTACCTTAATATCTGTCCGCCCATTGGGTCCTCCCATTCAATGCTATATGATTTATCGTAAAACTTTTTGAACCACTGCAGGAATTCCAGGCTTGCCTTAAAGCTGTTCCTGGCAATACTCTCGATGGGCACTGCCTTATCGATCCCCAAGCGCCTGAAGGCGTCCTGCAACAATACCAGATTGTGGATGCATTCATCTGAGTCGAGGTACTGAGACACCTTCAAGCGTCGCATATCGATGCAGCCAGGGAACATGTGTGCCATCATCTGGCAGTACGGCACTCCTAGGGAAGAGCCAAAGCCCGATCAAGTAGGAAGACCATGGGGTGTCTCTGGGGGGTGTCTCACCGGTGACCATCTCCCCGACTTCCGTGTACTTCACCTTCAACAGGCAGCTGACCCAGCTCATTAGAGCAGAGCGCGACATAGTGCTCCCGTTGCCGTTCGTGAGGGACACGTTCAGTTCGCGGAGTCTCATTTTGACTTGTTGTATATTTATAGAAAATATATATCAATATATATAAAATGTATATTCGGATAATCAATCAAGCATTAACATATGGGAGGAAAGTTTACTACGATTGGAATTCGTTTGGAGCTGTTTTTCGTTCTAAAACCTTTGGTTAGATTAATGTAGGCAATCTTTTTGGTTGAAGAACATTTGGAATACGGAATTTAGATGAAGGAAACCCTCAAATCCCTTGGCTAAGAGAATGTAGACATTATCTTTTGATTAGAAGAATACAAGTGCTGGCAATTGAAGGAGGAAAGCCAAGACCTAGCTTATTTTAACATATTTTGTAGATCTACAAATGCTAGATCTAATGTTAAGGTAGATCTTCAAGAACAGGCATTTGGCGTAGCATTAAAGCCTTTAAGAAATACCTGCATTTCCCCAACTACAGCCTATCCTTATCACCACTGTTTCCCTTGTAATATACCAATTTTTCCTACAATCCTGAGCATTTTTTTGCTGTGCCACTGGCTGCATTTTAACCAAGGACAATAACTAACAAAATCCATAAAAATATCCGACAATTGAGTCCCATAGAGTCCTCTACATTTTGATGGCATTTGGCCAGGCATTCAATTGATCTTTGGCCTTTGGCTGTACCATTGGATGGTTGAAAGAGCACAAGAAATTGGTGAAGCAATTAAGCGACTTCCTCGCTGTTGCAAGCCAACTTCAATTGTAGCTTCCTCAATAATTTAGCGTTATGTTTGGAGCCCCATCTACACACAGCTTCTCTGCACTCCCCACTCTCCCTCTCATGTCTGTGTGTGCTATGTATTATGCAATTGTTTGCCATCTCCCCAGCCTCTACTCCCGCCATCCGAGGCTGCATTCTGCGCTGAAACAATTCGTACTCTTAATGAGCTTCCATTAAACTTAATTGCAGTTGAAGTTGTGTTTGCATACTGCTTTTGCTTTGTATGCAGATACTCGGGCAGAGACGAGTGGACGAGGATGGATGGAGGATGGATGGAGGATGGATGGAGGTTGGATGGTGAGGCACCATTCGAGCAGAGTTTGCATTATGATTTGTCGCTGCAGAAATGAAAACCAAACATTTGATGGATCTGCTACTCCCTCGATGGGTTTCGCCTTCATTTAATTGAGATTTTTGTTACCCATTACTGGGGGGAGTACAGGGGTATATTGTTTTTGTGAATGAAGGAAGAGATTCTAAAAGATTTTAAGGGCATGGAAACAGTACCATTATCTACCACTGAGGAAAGAGTCATAGAATTATTGATACAGAAAAAAGAGGAGCCGAAGAGACGAACAAGCGAAGGGAGTGTGCCGGGGGTTGACGCCCGCGCGAAGCGAGTGAGCCGGAGGTTTACCCCGTAGTATACCATATCCATAGAACAATTACAACAAACAGATTGCAGAATACCAGCTCGTTGTAATCACAAGCATCTTTTGTGGCATTATCAGCTGTTCTCTTCTCATTCTAAAGGAATTCTCTAGATACTTTTGTTGTAATGGGTATCTCTATAGGCGACTATAACATTCCCGCTCGATATTCAAGCACACCCAGAGCTAAATTCCCATTGCAATTGCAATTTGTGAGTGCCTTTGAAGTTTGCTTTCATATTGAAAGATTATTTATCGTGATGCCTTCCGCAGAGCTCGTACTTTCGCTCGGCCACTCGGCAATTGTCTTTAATCGGTATGATTGCACTTTTGCCTCAGAGTTTTGGCCTCTTAACCTCAAAAAATGTGCTCCGTTCCGGCGAACAGAATGTAGAATAATTAAATTGTTCACTTCCTTTGCAGAACGAGCGACGGACCGACGGACCGACCGAGCGGCACAATGAGTTCATTATGCGATTTCTTGCATACAAAAACTTGTGAAAATTCACATTAATCAATTCTTTTGTTCTTGCAAAAAACAAGTACAAAGTTTCTAGGTGACCTTTTTTATATTAATTCAGACCTAATTGCTCTCTCTCTAATAAAGATATAAAACAATGAAAAGAAACAGAGAGAGAGGAAGAGGGAGCGATTCTTGGTTGCTTTTCACATCGAATTTTGGTGCACAGTACACTCGTATTTGCCATAAAGCGTATTCGAATTGCCTTTGGTGACAACATAACCAGACGAACCACTTCCAGTGTTGTTCCAACCAGATCCCCAGACCGTACAACAGGCCCCTCACCAGGGAACCAGGGGAACCAGGGGAACCAGGGGAACGGGCTTTTGTTTAACGCATGAGTTATTAATGAACATTAGCAGCATTTGATGTCAGGCCCGGGCCATCGCCATGAAATGGTAACAATAACGAGAACACCCGTCCCCCCCCCACACATACTCTAACTCGAATGAAAGTCAGCGTGAGGTTTGAGTGGTTTTAAAGTGCACAGAGATGGTCTTTAGTGGTAGAGATGGGTTTGGGATTCATGGGAATACAATAAAGGTGTACCATACATTTTATAGATCTCACTTGGGGCCGTAAGAGGTTTCTTGGGGGTATTTTTGGGCTATAAAATTAAAGATTTACCGCCACAGTTTTTGGCAAATTACAAGTATTATTTGTTGTTAGAAAATCTACAAAAATCCCGCGGCTGATGTCACAATAAAGAATTCGCGAGTCCCATTAGATCCGCCAGGCAAACTCTCTAATAGGTTTTGTCGCTTTCCTAAACGTTAAATATCATACCCATTTTGGACTAATGAAGCAAGCTCTTTCCAGATTTGGATGCAAAAAAAGATTACGATCTCAGCTTTGAATAAAACAAAGCAAAGACCACACAAAATGGATAGGATTAGGATGATAAATAAATGAATACTTTGATGATTAAGAAAGAAATGTCTAAACTATGAGTGGAACTAATCACCCGATAATACCTATGCTGCCCTCAAATTGATTACGAAACAGAACAACTAGCATTCCTTTGTTCTTAAGTACATAGAATATATATTTGATCAGCTTCATAAACATTCCTCTAAAAGCTCCAAATGCATTGAGCAGCTGTTGCGACTCTGTCTCTGGCAGTGAAACAAAGACGGAGACAACTCCCGAGTGTATTGACTCCGTCACATAGATGGGCATGCTGCCTGGGACAACCTGCTCGATACCGTCTTTGCCACACTTTTCCCCCTACATTAAGTCATATATGGGCTATGCATAGTGGGATATACTTTACATTGAGGTTAGGAAACCATTGCAAATAGTTGAATGAGAAGGCAGCACGCTACGAGTATCTGTATCTTCCATTCAGACTTCACAGAGAGCCGACTACATGCTCGTACAATGTCGGGAAAACCCGCCACGAATGTGCAAATTGAAGTGACTTGAACGATAAGAAATGTAAATGTTTTTCTTTTCTGCTCTTTTTTTTCGCTGTGGCATCATTAGATGTGGGGGGAACCTTCACTGGCAGCAAACTACTGAAAGATCGGCGGAGATCTATCGGTGGGTTCGTGTCGGTTTTCATTAGTGGCACTGTTCTAATTTCCCTTGGCTGCTGTTGCCCTCTCTCTCTCTCTTGAATGTGGATCAATGGAACGCAAGAAAATAACTTCATTTCATGCTGGAGATATTTCAGCAAAGGTTTCGAATGTTTACGACAAAGAATGGTAAGGAAAGTGAAGCAATTTTTGCAGGTAGAAATTAAACTAGAAGTTAGAAATAGTTTTCCAACTATTTATTTAAGATTTGAATGCTTCTTTCGTCATAATATTGGTTCATAATTATTGGATATATTGTGGATTTTTATCCCATGAAATCTCACAAGACTTATCGCTGCAGTGTGGCACCAATGTTTCCCCCAAAAACAAAATATTATTCCATAAACAACAAAACAATCATAAATATTGAAATTTCCACATTTTCCCCAAGGTCTTGTATGTATTCCAAACGAAATGCACGTCTAACCCAATTAGATAGAATTTATGTTACAATAACAAAAGAAGCGTAGACATTCAAAAAATTGAGATTTCGATGAAATTGCGGTCAACCGTAGAATTGCTTTATAAATAGTCGGGTGCCAGACGATGGCACTACTCCAGGCAAACATTTGCTATTCCCCGATGACCACAATGGCATTTCGTTGTAAGGGAAATATTTGCTATACCATTTCACATCCCTCAAATGAGAAGCCAGAATGAAATTCGGCTCTGAAAACTCTTTTGGGGGACTGTCTGGGCACTCGACTGGAACTCCCGAAGGAGGCCCAAGAAACGCAAAAACTGTCCATTAAAAACATGCATAAATGTATTAATTGACAAGAAAATGTTTGCCCAAGTCCAGGGGTCTGGGGGTATTTCAAAAACACACAGCACGATTTCCAAGAAGATAGATGTGGCACAACAATAGCAGGAAGGCAAAAACCTAATTGATTCTGGGCCTTGGCAACCGGCGCCGTTTCGCCTCAGCGCCCCCTACTCTGCTCTGGAGTACTCGTATTTTCTATTCATGTTTCGACTACTACTCGTGGTTGTAGTCCCCTAGTCTCCGTAGTCTCCTTCCTCTCCATACTCTCCGCACTCTCCATACTCTCCGTAGTCTCCGCACTCTTGTACAATGTACGAAACGAAGCTGAGCGTAAACATTTCAACAATGTTTTCGCGGTTTTTCCTATGCGGTTGTGTTCAAGAATAGTCACAGAAAACATAGTGGGGGTCTGGTTTAGGTTTGGCTTAACCGAATGGGGTATGCTCTATGGTAGGGTGAGGATTGAGGGTAGATTAAGCGTGTTATTGGAAGTGTATACAGAACAGAACCAAACTAGTGGGGGGAAAGAATACCTGGGATATGTCCAAATTCCTATCGGATAATTATCGGCTATCATGTGGTATTAACAATATATGTATCTTTTATACTAGAGAAATGAATTTTAGGTCGTTGTGGTCCATCCTATATTTTTCTCATATCAGCGCTACCGAGGCGGAGCAAGCGAGTGAGCCGGGGGTGGGCGCACA